GTCAAAGGAGAGCTGGGTGTAACAGCCATATAGCCAGCATCAGCTGGCTTATATAACCTCCCACTCTGCCGGTTAATACCGGCCAAGTACGAATGCCCAAAATGATCCCCGCACATGTGCAAAAGCTTGCCGGAAATGAAGTCACACGCATGCGATGAAGCACTTTGTCACCATTTTGGAACAACCATCGCTGCCCTGACCAGCGCATAGAGTCCAAACAGGGTTCACAAAGCGAACCAACAGGCCTGAGTGATTGAAACCTTGTGCAATCAGGACCCAACAGAGTGCGCCACCTCGTGAAGGGACACATAGGCACCCTCCTCGGATAGCGCCCCCAGGTGCCTGATGGCCTCAAACTTCCCCTAGCAACAAAAAAAAGGGGGGGGAATGGATGCACAAAACATGAATATATGTTACCAAATGTAAAGTATGCACATAATCTTAAGAGTCATTTAAATCTCACTATACTAGTGTCTATATACCTATTTGGTATCTACAACGCCCTCACCTGGTAAACACATTGAACAGTCCCCTCAGGTATACCCACAAAACCACTGTTAATAGCAATATAATGAGCTGCATTTGAGTCATTGCAAATAATATCAAACTCCACCAATTTTAAATTATTAATTTCTTGAATTGAGACAGCATTCGGGGATTTGGGTCCGTACTGATTACAAAAGTAACAGCATCAAGGCCATTTATCTATAGGAAGGGCTTCAAACTAATGGACTCATTGAGTCCAGGAAATTTATGGCAGCTAAGTTATATATCCACTTCGTTTCACGCCGTAAAAAGAATTTATCAACATCACCTCCACGTTCATGTGGAGGTATATGGTCCAAAGAAAAGAACTGAATTTTAGCTAGATCAAATCCATGATACAAGCCCACATGTCGACTGATAGGTGTTTCCATTTTCTTTTTAGAGATTAATGCTACATGGTCACGAATAGAGATGAGCGAAGTATTCAAAAATTTGATTCGGCTGATTCGGCGAATTCGAGGAATAAATTCGATTCGAGGCGAATATATTCGCTGCGAATTTACTTATAAAAAGGGTGTTTCTAGGCTTCAGAGAGCCTTTATATTAGTGCAGAACACTGTACCCTTAATTTAAATGCCCTTGGAGTCTGCTGGGGAAGAGAAATAATACTGTCAGTCAGTATGACATGCAGATGAGTGCCGTCGATCTTAGAATCACCGCACACTTCACTCATTTGGGCAGTCACGGGGAAACCAGAGTGTGGAGCCACAGTGTGGCGGAGGCAGCAGCAATGGGAGGCCATACAGCACCCTATGACAAAATGGAACCCACCAGCAGTGTGAGGAGACCTGAAAGTGGCACATGGCAGAGTGTGGCGATAAAGACAGCAGCAATGGGAGGCCGTACAGGGACCCATGAGACACTCTGGACCTGGCAGCATGCATGAGGAGGCGGTACAGGGGCCCATGACAGATTACGGGCCTGGCAGCAGCATGAGGAGTCGGTACGGGGGCCCATGGCAGATTACGGGCCTGGCAGCAGCAATGGGAGGCCCGTAATCTGCCAGCACCCTATGACAAAATGGAACCCACCAGCAGTGTGAGGAGACCTGAAAGTGGCACATGGCAGAGTGTGGCGATGGAGACAGCAGCAATGGGAGGCCGTACAGGGACCCATGAGACACTCTGGACCTGGCAGCAGCAGCATGAGGAGGCGGTACAGGGGCCCATGACAGATTACGGGCCTGGCAGCAGCATGAGGAGTCGGTACGGGGGCCCATGGCAGATACGGGGCCTGGCAGCAGCATGGGAGGCCCGTAATCTGCCAGCACCCTATGACAAAATGGAACCCACCAGCAGTGTGAGGAGACCTGAAAGTGGCACATGGCAGAGTGTGGCGATGGAGACAGCAGCAATGGGAGGCCGTACAGGGACCCATGACACTCTGGACCTGGCAGCAGCATGAGGACTCTGGACCTGGCAGCAGCATGAGGAGGCGGTACGGGGGCCCATGGCAGATTACGGGCCTGGCAGCAGCAGCAATGGGAGGCCCGTAATCTGCCAGCACCCTATGACAAAATGGAACCCACCAGCAGTGTGAGGAGACCTGAAAGTGGCACATGGCAGAGTGTGGCGATGGAGACAGCAGCAATGGGAGGCCGTACAGGGACCCATGAGACACTCTGGACCTGGCAGCAGCATGAGGAGGCGGTACAGGGGCCCATGACAGAACGGGGCCTGGCAGCAGCATGAGGAGTCGGTACGGGGGCCCATGGCAGATTACGGGCCTGGGCAGCAGCAATGGGAGGCCCGTAATCTGCCAGCACCCTATGACAAAATGGAACCCACCAGCAGTGTGAGGAGACCTGAAAGTGGCACATGGCAGAGTGTGGCGATGGAGACAGCAGCAATGGGAGGCCGTACAGGGACCCATGAGACACTCTGGACCTGGCAGCAGCATGAGGAGGCGGTACAGGGGCCCATGACAGATTACGGGCCTGGCAGCAGCATGAGGAGTCGGTGTGAGGGGGGCCCATGGCAGATTACGGGCCTGGCAGCAGCAATGGGAGGCCCGTAATCTGCCAGCACCCTATGACAAAATGGAACCCACCAGCAGTGTGAGGAGACCTGAAAGTGGCACATGGCAGAGTGTGGCAATGGAGACAGCAGCAATGGGAGGCCGTACAGGGACCCATGAGACACTCTGGACCTGGCAGCAGCAGCATGAGGAGGCGGTACAGGGGCCCATGACAGATTACGGGCCTGGCAGCAGCATGAGGAGTCGGTACGGGGGGGGGCCCATGGCAGATTACGGGCCTGGGCAGCAGCAATGGGAGGCCCGTAATCTGCCAGCACCCTATGACAAAATGGAACCCACCAGCAGTGTGAGGGAGACCTGAAAGTGGCACATGGCAGAGTGTGGCGATGGAGACAGCAGCAATGGGAGGCCGTACAGGGACCCATGAGACACTCTGGACCTGGCAGCAGCATGAGGAGGCGGTACAGGGGCCCATGACAGATTACGGGCCTGGCAGCAGCATGAGGAGGTCGGTACGGGGGCCCATGGCAGATTACGGGCCTGGCAGCAGCAATGGGAGGCCCGTAATCTGCCAGCACCCTATGACAAAATGGAACCCACCAGCAGTGTGAGGAGACCTGAAAGTGGCACACATGGCAGAGTGTGGCGATGGAGACAGCAGCAGCAATGGGAGGCCGTACAGGACCGGGACCCATGAGACACTCTGGACCTGGCAGCAGCATGAGGAGGCGGTACAGGGGCCCATGACAGATTACGGGCCTGGCAGCAGCATGAGGAGTCGGGGTACGGGGGCCCATGGCAGATTACGGGCCTGGCAGCAGCAATGGGAGGCCCGTAATCTGCCAGCACCCTATGACAAAATGGAACCCACCAGCAGTGTGAGGAGACCTGAAAGTGGCACATGGCAGAGTGTGGCGATGGAGACAGCAGCAATGGGAGGCCGTACAGGGACCCATGAGACACTCTGGACCTGGCAGCAGCATGAGGAGGCGGGTACAGGGGCCCATGACAGATTACGGGCCCGGGCCTGGCAGCAGCATGAGGAGTCGGTACGGGGGCCCATGGCAGATTACGGGCCTGGCAGCAGCAATGGGAGGCCCGTAATCTGCCAGCACCCTATGACAAAAAATGGAACCCACCAGCAGTGTGAGGGAGACCTGAAAGTGGCACATGGCAGAGTGTGGCGATGGAGACAGCAGCAATGGGAGGCCGTACAGGGACCCATGACACACTCTGGACCTGGCAGCAGCATGAGGAGGCGGTACGGGGGCCCATGGCAGATTACGGGCCTGGCAGCAGCAATGGGAGGCCCGTAATCTGCCAGCACCCTATGACAAAATGGAACCCACCAGCAGTGTGAGGAGACCTGAAAGTGGCACATGGCAGAGTGTGGCGATGGAGACAGCAGCAATGGGAGGCCGTACAGGGACCCATGAGACACTCTGGACCTGGCAGCAGCATGAGGAGGCGGTACGGGGGCCCATGGCAGATTACGGGCCTGGCAGCAGCAATGGGAGGCCCGTAATCTGCCAGCACCCTATGACAAAATGGAACCCACCAGCAGTGTGAGGAGACCTGAAAGTGGCACATGGCAGAGTGTGGCGATGGGGCAATGGGAGGCTGGCAGCTCAGACAGCAGCAATGGGAGGCCGTACAGGGACCCATGAGACACTCTGGACCTGGCAGCAGCATGAGGAGAGGCGGTACAGGGGCCCATGGCAGATTACGGGCCTGGCAGCAGCAATGGGAGGCCCGTAATCTGCCAGCACCCTATGACAAAATGGAACCCACCAGCAGTGTGAGGAGACCTGAAAGTGGCACATGGCAGAGTGTGGCGATGGAGACAGCAGCAATGGGAGGCCGTACAGGGACCCATGAGACACTCTGGACCTGGCAGCAGCATGAGGAGGGCGGTACGGGGGCCCATGGCAGATTACGGGCCTGGCAGCAGCAATGGGAGGCCGTAATCTGCCATGGCACCCTATGACAAAATGGGAGGCCCATCTGCCAGCACCCTATGACAAAAGTGTGAGGAGACCTGAAAGTGGCACATGGCAGAGTGTGGCGATGGAGACAGCAGCAATGGGAGGCCGTACAGGGACCCATGACACACTCTGGACCTGCAGCAGCAGCAGCATGAGGAGGGGGTACGGGGGCCCATGGCAGATTACGGGCCTGGCAGCAGCAATGGGAGGCCCGTAATCTGCCAGCACCCTATGACAAAATGGAACCCACCAGCAGTGTGAGGAGACCTGAAAGTGGCACATGGCAGAGTGTGGCGATGGAGACAGCAGCAATGGGAGGCCGTACAGGGACCCATGAGACACTCTGGACCTGGCAGCAGCATGAGGAGGCGGTACAGGGGCCCATGACAGATTACGGGCCTGGCAGCAGGGATGAGGAGTCGGTACGGGGGCCATGGCAGATTACGGGCCTGGCAGCAGCAATGGGAGGCCCGTAATCTGCCAGCACCCTATGACAAAATGGAACCCACCAGCAGTGTGAGGAGACCTGAAAGTGGCACATGGCAGAGTGTGGCGATGGAGACAGCAGCAATGGGAGGCCGTACAGGGACCCATGAGACACTCTGGACCTGGCAGCAGCAGCCATGAGGGAGGCGGTACAGGGGCCCATGAGATTACGGGCCTGGCAGCAGCATGAGGAGTCGGTACGGGGGCCCATGGCAGATTACGGGCCTGGCAGCAGCAATGGGAGGCCCGTAATCTGCCAGCACCCTATGACAAAATGGAACCCACCAGCAGTGTGAGGAGACCTGAAAGTGGCACATGGCAGAGTGTGGCGATGGAGACAGCAGCAATGGGAGGCCGTACAGGGACCCATGAGACACTCTGGACCTGGCAGCAGCATGAGGAGGCGGGTACGGGGGGGCCCATGACAGATTACGGGCCTGGCAGCAGCATGGGAGGTCGGTACGGGGGCCCATGGCAGATTACGGGCCTGGCAGCAGCAATGGGAGGCCCGTAATCTGCCAGCACCCTATGACAGAAATGGAAAGTGGCACAGCAGTGTGAGGAGACCTGAAAGTGGCACATGGCAGAGTGTGGCGTGGCAATGGAGACGCAGCAATGGGAGGCGGTACAGGGCACCATGGCCCACCCAGATTACGGGCCTGGCAGCAGCAATGGGAGGCCCGTAATCTGCCAGCACCCTATGATGACATGGAAACCACACAGCAGTGTGAGGAGACCTGAAAGTGGGACATGGCAGAGTGTGGGGGTGGAGACACTCTGGACCTGGCAGCAGCAATGGGAGGGTACAGGGACCCATGACAGATTACGGGACCTGGCAGCAGCATGAGGAGTCGGTACGGGGGCCCATGGCAGATTACGGGCCTGGCAGCAGCAATGGGAGGCCCGTAATCTGCCAGCACCCTATGACAAAATGGAACCCACCAGCAGTGTGAGGAGACCTGAAAGTGGCACATGGCAGAGTGTGGCGATGGAGACAGCAGCAATGGGAGGCCGTACAGGGACCCATGAGACACTCTGGACCTGGCAGCAGCATGAGGAGGCGGTACAGGGGCCCATGACAGATTACGGGCCTGGCAGCAGCATGAGGAGTCGGTACGGGGGCCCATGGCAGATTACGGGCCTGGCAGCAGCAATGGGAGGCCCGTAATCTGCCAGCACCCTATGACAAAATGGAACCCACCAGCAGTGTGAGGAGACCTGAAAGTGGCACATGGCAGAGAGTGTGGCGATGGAGACAGCAGCAGCAATGGGAGGCCGTACAGGGACCCATGAGACACTCTGGACCTGGCAGCTGGCAGCAGCATGAGGAGGCGGTACGGGGGCCCATGGCAGATTACGGGCCTGGCAGCAGCAATGGGAGGCCCGTAATCTGCCAGCACCCTATGACAAAATGGAACCCACCAGCAGTGTGAGGAGACCTGAAAGTGGCACATGGCAGAGTGTGGCGATGGAGACAGCAGCAATGGGAGGCCGTACAGGGACCCATGAGACTCTCTGGACCTGGCAGCAGCATGAGGAGGCGGTACGGGGGCCCATGGCAGATTACGGGCCTGGCAGCAGCAATGGGAGGGCCGTAATCTGCCAGCACCCTATGACAAAATGGAACCCACCAGCAGTGTGAGGAGACCTGAAAGTGGCACATGGCAGAGTGTGGCGATGGAGACAGCAGCAATGGGAGGCCGTACAGGGACCCATGACACTCTGGACTGGACCTGGCAGCAGCATGAGGAGGCGGTACAGGGGGCCCATGGCAGATTACGGGCCTGGCAGCAGCAATGGGAGGCCCGTAATCTGCCAGCACCCTATGACAAAATGGAACCCACCAGCAGTGTGAGGAGACCTGAAAGTGGCACATGGCAGAGTGTGGCGATGGAGACAGCAGCAATGGGAGGCCGTACAGGGACCCATGACACACTCTGGACCTGGCAGCAGCAAGAGGAGGCGGTACAGGGGCCCATGGCAGAGTGGCGAAGCGTAAGCAGCTTAAATTGAAGGCCATACAGAGGCCTATGTTAAAAATAATAACATGTTTGGGGCATGATTCATGGCGGATTTTAGTCAGTTGTGTCAGGAACTGGTGGTTTGAAATCCAGACATAATCCACGCCTGATTCATTTTCACAAACGTGAGTCTCTCCACACTTTGGGTGGACAGTCGTGTCCTCCGCGGAGTTACAATACCTCCTGCCGCACTAAACACGCGCTCCGATGCCACGCTACTGGCCGGGCATGACAGCCTTTCAAGGGCAAATTCAGCTAGTTGGGGCCAAAGGTCAAGTTTCGTTGCCCAGTAGTCAAGGGGATTGTCTACCTCGGTTGGCAGGGTGCTGTCCAAGTAGGCCCAAGCCTGTTGTTTGAGGTCCTGCTCCAGGTCCACCTGATGCTGCTGCTGCTGCGGCTGGTTAGTAGTTTCCTCACTGCGCTGGTGAAGAAAGCTACTCATCATCGACTGCAGACTGAGGCAGCCGCTGCTGGTGGAGCTGCCACTGCTCCTACCACCCCACCCCTCCCCTGCTGCCATGGCAGCGGAACGCGAGCGCACAGGGCCCACAGTGTCTGAGGATGGACGTTGGCGCAGAAAGGCAGAGACCAACTGACTACATAGGTGGTTTTTATAGTACGTTATTTTGGCCTCCCTCTCAGCAGGTGTGAAAAAGGCCACCATTTTTGAACGGTAGCGAGGGTCCAACAAGGTGGACAGCCCAAAGTCATCCCTCTGTCTGATGGTTATTATTCGGCTGTCGCTACGCAAGCAACCGAGCATGCTATGGGCCATTTGTGCCAAGGAATGCGAGGGACTCCCTGCCTCCATCTCCACAGCATACTGCCACGGTGCGTCTGGGTCCTCTGTCTCCTCCTCCTCCTCCTCTACCAGATGCTCCTGCTCCTCCACTCCTGTCCGCTGAGTGAAAAAAAAAACCACCATTTCACTCAATAATTCCTGAGCACCAATGTCCTCCTCTACCTCCTCCTCTTCTTCCTGTCCTGCCCCCACAGGGGTCATGTGGCGTTGAGATCTGTGCGCCGTCTACCGCACCCTGACCAGCCATTGTTAACAGCATTTGTTCCAGGACGTGCAACAGAGGAATGACGTCGTTCATCCCATAGTCCTGCCGACTCACGAATAGCGTGGCCTCCTCAAAAGGGCCTGAGCAAGCGGCAGGTGTCACGCATGAGCTGCCAATGGCTGACATCTAAGTTACACAGGGGAGTACCTTTATCCGCTTGTAACATCAGGAAATCGGTGATGGCCTTTCGCTGTTCGTAAAGGCGGGTCTAACATATGTAGGGTTGAATTCCACCTTGTTGCAACGTCGCAGATCAGGCGATGCTGTGGAATTCCGTTCTGCCGCTGCCGCTGCAGCTCAAGGAGGGTGTGCTTTGCGGTGTAGGAATGGCTGAAATGCATGCAAAGTTTACGTGACATTTTAAGGATGTCTTGCAGTGGGATGGTGGATTTTAGGAACCGCTTGACAACCAGATTGAACACGTGAGCCATGCATGGCGCATGGCACAACCTTCCTTGACGCAGAGCAGACACCATGTTCTTTCCGTTGTCGGTCAACATGGTTCCGATTTTCAGTTTGCGCGGAGACAGCCATCTGTCGATTTCTCTGTTCATTACACTCAGAAGTTCCTCCCTCCCTGTGTGACTACGTTCGCCAAGGCATACCAGGTGCAGCACAGCGTGACACCGTTGCGCCCTGCACATGTGATATGCCGGTCGGGTAATGGGACTTGGCACGGGGGGGGTGGCGGCTGAGGACACGGCGGAAGAAGAGGGTGGTAGAGGCGGACATCTTTGCTGGACCAAGGACGTGCAAACGTGGAGGCAAAAAGCGGCGTGACCTGTCCAAGTTGCTGGTGCGGCTGTGCCGGCACCACGTTCACCCAGTGGGCCGTAAATGACATCATGTACTGTCCCTGACCGTAGTTACAGCTCCACACGTCGGCGCTGCCGTGCACTTTGGGCAGAGACCGACATGCTCAAAGACTGGCCCACCATCTCTTCTACATGTGAATGCAGGGCTGGCACTGCCTTTTTGGCGAAGAAATGCCGGCTTGGCACTCTCCACCGCGGCTCGGCACAAGCCATCATTTCTCGGAAAGGTGCTGAGTCCACCACTTGGAAAGGGAGGGACTGCAGCACCAGCAACTTGGACAGGAGGACGTTCAGCTTCTGCACCGTCGGGTGCGTGCTCGCAAAACTGTTGTCTCTTGGAAACGGATTCCAAGAAAGACTGCTGACGGAATCCGTGAAGAGGAGTAGCAGGAGAAGGAGCATTCTGAACGAGCGGAAGATGCCAACGAGCGACAACTCCCCTCAGCAGAGGTGTTGGAGCCTTGACTGGCTGATAGAGGGCGATTGACGTCGGGTGACGGAGCAAGTAACGGAGCGGGGTGTGATGGAGCGGGGGCTGGGGCAGGCAGAACCGCCGTATCTTTATCACGGTTTTCCCAGGCCACCCGAACAGAATGGCGACGCTGCATATGCTGACGCAACGCTGTAGTCCCAACATGGGCCCCCTGGCCACGCTTGACTTTCTGGCCACATAGTCGACATACGGCTACGTTTTACTTCCTCGGGCGGCTTGACGAAAAAATTGCCACACCGCCGAGTAGGAAACTTTGCCCCCGCTACTCCTCACTGGCTGACTGCTACTTCCTCCGTGCACACCGGCACCACTACTGGCCGTGGTGGTAGGCTGCAGTGGAGCTGGTGCTCTACTCCGTGGCCGTTTGCCTCCACTGACATGCTGTGACCCTGCTGCCTCCTGGGCAACCCACCCGACCCCACCTTCCTCGCTGCCAAGCTGAACACCTCTCTCTCCTGATGATGCGGAAGCATGACCTGATGACTGACGAGGCAGTGAGGCTTGCTCTCAGCCCCCCCATCATCAATTAGGGTCTCCAGTCAACTAGTCTGTGTCTGGTCACCCCTGGGTAGGTGTCAGATTCTGTGACCTGTCCCGAGCCAGACAACCGAGCAATCAGTACATTCTACCCTCAGTACGTAACAAGGTTCTGTGTCGGGTGGAGACTCGATCCCTGTTCCCTGGATTGTCTCCCCCCGGATTCTGCCTCTCCTCACTGTACAGTGGGACCCACCCACCCCTCGTAATACTTCGCTCCCCACAAAGGTCTGTGCCTGTCCCTGATTCAGTGGGCTTGCTCCCGGGCCATGCCTAACGGTTGTGTTGACGTACCCACCTGGCTAGTAAAGATTTCTGTGTCCCCTGAAGTAACGATTCTGAGTCCAACCAGTAACAATTCTGGGTCCTGTCCCCTGAGTAAACAATTCTGTGTCCCTCAGTAACAATTCTGTGTCCCTGGAGTAACAAATTCTGTGTCTGCTCCCTGAGTAAAAATTCTGTGTCCCTCCCTGAGTAACAATTCTGTGTCCCTACAGTAAACAATTCCTGTCCCTGAGTAACAATTCTGTGTCCCTGAGTAACAATTCTGTTGTCCTCAGTAAACAATTCTGTGGTGTGTCCCTGAGTAAAACAATTCTGTGTCCCTGAGTAACAATTCAACCTGAGTAACAATTCTGTGTCCCTGAGTAACAAATTCTGTGTCCTGAGTAACATTCTGTGTCCCTCAAAACAATTCTTCTGTCCCCCCTGAGTAAACAATTCTGTGTCCCTGAGTAACAATTCTGTGTCCCTCAGTAACAATTCTGTGTCCTCAGTAACATATTCTGTGTCCCTGAGTAACAGTAACAATTCTGTGTCCCTCAGTAACAATTCTGTGTCCCTGAGTAACAATTCTGTGTCCCCTGAGTAACAATTCTGTGTCCCTGAGTAACACAATTCTGTGTCTGTCCCTGAGTAACAATTCTGTGTCCCTGAGTAACAATTCTGTGTCCCTCCCGTAAACAATTCTGTGTCCCAGAACAGTAACAATTCTGTGTCCCCTGAGTAACAATTCTGTGTCCCTGAGTAACAATTCTGTGTCCCTCAGTAACAATTCTGTGTCTGTCCCTGAGTAACAATTCTGTGTCCCTGAGTAACAATTCTGTGTCCCTCGAGTAACAAT